CTTTTTTTAAAAAAAGGAAGAAAAGTCTTAACCTCATTTAATGTTATGGTCATCTTTTACTTTGCCATTATCATGATACACTATGTTGTCCTTCGCAAATTGTGACCATGACTCCCCATGAATCCTCACGACCTCAAATACTCTTCTCCTTAGATAATTGACAAAAAGATATATCTCTTCAAATAGGACATATTCTATTGGAGTAGTAAGATATATTTTATTTTCCTGATTATCTGTTTCTATTACATTATATTAATTATAGTTAATATTGTCATACATTTTTACATTTTTCTGTTCAAGTTTGTAAGAAGAATGCATGATCCAATTATCTCTCTTGAAACTTTAATAAATCTATACAAATATTATTGAATAATGTAAACTACACTTATATCAAAATGAATGATGAATACATTGGCTCATCAATTTAACCCATTAGTCTTCTCCATCAATTATTATCAAGCTCCTCCTGTTAAATATTTTGATATGTTTGAATATGAGTTTCTAATATGAGTTTCTGGAACAATATGAATGTCAAATTTAAATTGATATTTATCTTCAAGCACATATTACATCATGTACTCCTTAACAAGAACAATCTCATGAATTATAAAGTTTCACAACATTGGGTAACTATTCGTTCACGCATTTGACATTTAATTTAGTTCTCAAATTCATGAATAGTAGTATCATATATGTTTGATGCTACTTCAATTACATCATCATTAATATTTAACTCTCAATAATATTATTGTCATAACACGCCTTTACATGTAGAGCAAGATAATATATATGGTACACAAACTAATGATGATAAAAACAGTTGATGATGAGGATAAGGAAGATGAAGATGAGTCACAAAATTGATAAGAGGTGGTAGAAAAACGAGATAAACCTTACACGAGGTGAACAACAACTAAGAGTTCTACCACCTTGAAGAAGAAAATCAACTACATCTAACTTCTCGTCACTTAAGTGAAATTATTGTAATAAATTAGGAATATATATTGTAATTTAATGATAATGTTTAATTATTTTTATAATATAAATTGTTTAACAACATAATCACCTTCACTTCTTTAATGATAATGTGTATGTTGGGAAGTAAATCTCACATTGTCTACCTCATTGTCTCGGGAATGATTTAAATACATATTGGACTACTCCTTTCATTGCCAAATGGTTTTGAGATTGAACTTTAACATGGTATCAGAGTCAGATCTCAACTTCTTTCCGATTATCATAGGTCAAATATGTCATTTAGTTATGGGTCAAATATGTCATTTAGTTATGTAGTTATTGATCAAATGTAACTCTTTGCCTGATCTGACAGACTTATGTGGTGTGGAGGGGGCATGTTGATAAGTATGTCTCACATAGTCTACCTCATTGTCTCGATAATAGTTTAAATATCTGTTGAACTACTCCTCTCATTAACAATTGATTTTGAGATAGAACCTTCGCATTGTAAATGTTTTCATAAAACTCTATAATTGTAAAAATCTTGTTACCCGATTTAGTAAAAATAGTTTCTAAAATCGCATTTCCACCCCACGATATCAACTAACTAGAAAAATGAAATGCAACTGGTGCATGGAAATTGTCGTGTATAAGAGCAACAAGTTAACGTGGATAGAGACAGAGAAAAGTAAGACAGAGAAAAGTAACATTTTCATTGGTTTAATATAAGGAATAGGCTACAGTGTGGACAGATTATTAAAATACAATGAAAATCAACCTATCATTTTTTGAGTTTGGCTCCTCTCCATTAATGGAGAGGTCAGTGAACCTTAGGATTGTAACATGTGTTATAAAAAAAATCAATGACTTAGATTTAAAATTAGAATTATTTTAATATTTAAAAGAAAAATAGAAACACAAAGAAAGTGAGAAACAAAAGCCCACGGTACAACCTTCATCTTCATCTTCATTTTTGAGGTAGACATTACTGCCATAGTGAGTTTGCAAACCTAATGGTTTAATCAATTTCAAAACTTCTCAATGTAGTCTTCTTCATCGAGGTAGACATTACTATATCAATTTTGTAAATTATCTACTGTGAAATCAAGGAACGGTCAGCATAATGCAGTAACATTTTCATATAAAGTGTCTATTTTTCTTATTATGTGCAGCTATCCTCCATAACTGCAGTTCAAAAATGAAGATGAAGTTAGGGTTCAAATTAAGATGAAGATGAAGTTTCTACATTGACCATTTGGTTCTGTGTTTCTATTGTTTAATTTTTTAAATTTTAAACTGATTTTAATTTTAAATCTAAGCCATTGATTTTTTTTATAACACGTGTCACAATCCTAAGGCTCACTGGCCTCTCCAATAATGGAGATGAGCCAAACTCCATATTTTAAACATAAACAACTAAACATAAAAAACTAATCACAAAGCTTGTTTAAGTGAGCCAACTGAAAATGAATATAAAATGATAATGGCTCAGAAGCGGAATAAAAACAGATATAAAACTCAGAAATAATTAGGACTAAATTTTTCTTAATTCAACTTTGATTCAAATGCTAAAAATACAGCAGGTATATATAGTGTTCATTAGCTCTGATAAACTAGAAAATTTCAAATACTTCTATTTTTCATATGCTATTTCTAGAATTTGTCTACACAATATTTGAAGGTTGTATCTCTTATTATCTCGTGCTTGATTTTGACTTTAGACCGGAGAAAGTAAGAGTGTATATCTAAATATTTGCATTGGGACTCAATTATCTTATGTAGAACTTCCTCATTTTAACTGTAAAGTTCAACAAGGTATTGGTATCAAATGTGGGTGCAAATATTATATATTTTTTGCATCTCATAAGTCTTTATTTTTTGCTAGTTTGTTTATTAATCTTAAATTTTGTCTAACTTTATGTTCTACAAAATTGACTTCTTAGTCTTTATTGTATTGGGTGGACACCACGTATGCTTGTTTTAATACATTTTTTTATCAAAAAAAAAAAATGTGGGTGCAAGCACACACCATAGTCAAACCCTATCAAGTGGGTCTAAATCCAACAAAGAATATATACTTAAATGGTTATTCAAAAATATATAAAAGAAAAGTGTATGAGTTTATACAATATTATTGTATTATCTATCATTTATATTTAATCATTATTGATTCTTCAAAAAATACAAATAATTGATATATAATACATTGAGTGTGTATAAATCTATATAATAATACTACATATATTATAGTCCATATATAATAGATCACATGAATAAACTCTAATCCTCCTACTTTAATTATCACTTTAGTACTTTTTATTTTTTATATTATTTTTTACTTTTATAATATATGAAAGAATTAAATATTATCCCTCACGTTCTTTTTAATAGAAAGTAAGTCTCATATTGTCTACCTCATTGTCTCGAGAATGGTTCAAATGTAACTATTCGTCTCATCCGACAAGCTTATGTGGAGGGAGCATGTTAGGAAGTAAGTCTCACATCGCCTAACTCATTGTCTCGGAAATGATTTAAATATTTGTTGGGTTACTTATCTCATTGTCAATTGCTTTTGAGATAGAGCTTTAACACCTCACTCCTCTTAAATATAAATAGAGTTGTATGATAATGATGACTATAATATTATTAGAGATATTTTGGTCAAAATACATTATTTTACATCCATAATCAATTTATCAGTAGGAATAATCTCCACTAATGAATAGGAAATTAATATTTTTACACTTAACTCTAAGGATGAAAATGTCATTTCATGTGTAAATAGAAGAATATAATTTTCTTTTTACCTTGTTTTACACATCACTTCCTTCTATCTTAATAATGATAATCCATATTCATTTAACCATAGTCTCAATCAATGTGCAGTAACTTTCGGTGACAATTAAAATGAGACGAAATATAACTCTATTTAAAACCAAATATACCAACCAAGTCCAACCCATAAAGTTATGAAATTTTAATCATGCAGGTCAGTGCTGGATCATTTTGAATGGCAATGGAGTCTGATATAGCAAATTTATGTACACTTGAATCCTCTTTTTTTGTTCTTGTATTTTGTTTTCTTAAATATTTGGCTTTTACAGGATTTATATTGCCTTTGGAAAGATTGGTGAAACAAGTTAATTACGACTGAGACTAATGAAGAGAAAAGTACTCTAAGAAATCAAAAACAAATTGAAAATATAATGTCGTTTATGTCATTTTTAGTCTTAGAAGTAAAAAAAAACTTCTCTCTCTAATGGGATAATCTTTTTCCGTTAATTACCATTCAAGTTTTCACCTGATCTCGAGTTTGTAGGAATGAAGCTACTTATTCTTTCACCTTTTAACAAAACAATTACACTTTGACAAAAATGGGATTCTAGAAACCCAATAATGAAGGCTTAAAAGTATTGAAGCTTAATATATTGCAAATTTGGTTTTGCTTATAATGTCTGTGTTTTGTATTGTGTTCAAATTTTGAAGTTATAAACTAATTCCTTTTTCTTTACCAAGTTAATTGATTAGTGAATTGCAAATAAAAAAGTGAAAGATGGACAAAAATAAATTGATATTCTTTTCACCCTCAGGTTCTTATATTCTTTTTTAATAATACAATTAATAAAAGAGAAAGTTACACAAATAAATAAAAAATAATTTTAGCCACTCTTTACCAAATTTTCTCTATAACATCCGTATCCCCTCCTCTAATCAATTGATATGGAGCTCTTCCGGATAATTCAAATTATGGATCACATTACAATATCACTATATTACAATTATTGTAAGATATTGAATCAGAATGATATGACAACATCCGACTACATATGGATTACTTCAAATCAATGACCGAATTCCATATCACAACAATCATATTGATAGAATTGAGACCTGTAACCATAAAAATAACAAAATAGTTAGATATAATATATGATATATATATATATATATATATATAAAAGTGATTCAGAACAATATATTAATTGAAATGGGAGGGAGGTAGAGTATTAAGATTTGGAAGATCATAATGTGTATATATGAAGAGATCGAGATGGTGGAGTTCCCTTCACTCCAATACCAAAAGATAAGGGTAAACTCATCTCCCAATTCATGCAAACCCTTGAGGTTGGAACACATGTTGTTACAAAACCATAGGTATCCATGAACTGGCAGCAGAGGTTTACTATTATATCTCCTTTAGGACTTGGAGCAAAGGGAACTCCAACCTTATAACTACTACTATACTCTCATTCTTATCTTATGATGTTATTTTGTATTTGAGAAAACTGATGATGCAATCCAAGGTACCAACAACCACTATTTATATAGCCTGTAAAGTAATCCTAATATGTTAGAAAATCTCTAATTAGGATATTCATACATGAGGATTGGTGGAAAATGTATATTATATTAATTACAAAATCATTCATGTGATTAATAATTTTTTAATGTTAAATTAACTTTAAAAAATATAGACAATTAAATTAGAATTTGAAAATAGAGTTATTTGGGGAGAAATGAAGAGAAATTATAATTTTTATGAAGGGAATTTGTAAGATTTGAAATGAAACTTCTAGAAATATATATAAGTGCTTTCAATAATTCATTCATCAATTTTACCCCTGAAATTTTACTAAATTATATTAACGATTTCCACTAAAATAGCTATTAATCATTCATCTCCTCGTTGTTAACATTAAGTTTACATTAATCTCATCAGGATATTATTTTTTTATAACAATTGTGTAGTAAAAAAATCCAGTATCCTTAATCTGTGGGCATACAAATGTATAAATAAGTGTTTAATATATATATATATTGTTTGTATAATTTTTCTACATGAACATTATATTATACATTATTGACATGTATTCTTTATTTATAAGACAATTAATTATTACCATATGAATGATAAATGATATACTTAAAATATAAATTATTTTCTATATAGAGAATACTTAGTTAGAGTTAACCGAAAATAAAGACTAAAATAAATAGGGAAAATAATTTTTAATTATATTACCTAGTTACTCTAATTAATAATGGCAAATTAATAAATAAATAAATTTCAACTAATTACCATTTTAATAAATAAAATAAATATAAAACTTTTGTACATTATTTTAGTCATTTAAAAAATTTCAACTACCTATATGAAACAACTCTAGCTCAGCCAAGTGCATATAAAATTATAAACTTCTAACAACATTAATAAATACAAAGTCACATATATTATTATATTACACCAACAAATTGTTTTGCCCAATAGACTTGTGTGGAAAACGGTTTCGTAAAAACAGCTCAACAATACAGCTTGCGTTTTAACAAACCAGTGTGTTTCTCTCTCCTCTGTTATATTTCATAGAACCTAATTAATATAAAAATTTATCTACATTTTGTGTTATAATTATTATAAATAAATAGTATATAATATCTATATTTATACTATATATAAAGGCAAAACTTCTAATAACTACCTATATGGCATAATTTTTCATTGCCTATTTTGCCCTTCTAATTATCTATTATTATAACTATACTATATATACTATATATAAAGGCAAAACCTCTAATAACTACCTACATGGTATAATTTTGTATTATCTATTTTGCCCTTCTAATTAACTATTATTACAATGTTTACCACACAATAAAAGAAATATCAAAATTATAGGTTTTAATATAGGTTACATATATAAAAAAATATCAAGTCACCAATGTAATTTTTAATATAGGTTTTAATAATACCAAAATTCATTTTCATATTTTTTTATTACAACAGTCAATACAAAAAAATGATATATTTCTCTAAAATGAAATATTTAATATTAGAAAATAAGAATGTGGGTCGGCATGCACGAAGTGCATGTCGACACGCTAGTTTATATAAAGAGAAAACACAAAATGACTACTTCAAGATGTAATTTGTTATTTTTTATTTTTCTCTTACTGATCTATATTTTCTACCATAAAAAACCATATAACATATTTCCTCATTTTATATTTCATATAACATATTATCTTTTTTTATTTTTTAACATGCAAAATTGCATCATGTTTTGTTGATTTTGTTATAGTTATGAAAAAATGTAATAAAAGTATACAAATCACTTACAATTTACTAATAGGAAAGCGAGTTGATAGACACGCTAGTAATAATAATGTAAAAAAATATTATACTATACGTACATCCATCTTTTTATCCTAAGTTGTTTAATATATTGTATAATCATGTATATCTCTATCATGTGTTCGTTCAAGTTATGAGTTTATGATCATTTCTTCAATATATGTAACTATTTATTAAAAAAATACCAATTAGCCTTTTATTTATAGGATTGAAGAATATAGAGTCCGAAATGATTATAGAGTATAATTTTTATGCAATATCAGTTTAAAGTTTTATATATAGTATATGATATATTATTTATTTGTATTACTTATAATTAAATATGACTGATAAAACGAAATAAAAAAGATATTATCATTTATATATATGGAAAATCGTTGTGTTAGGAGTTAGGACAATTGGTTAGGTATGTAATGGATTAAGTTCCTATTTCCGATATCATGTTTAGAGCGATAGATCTTTGGAATGTGGACACGTGATATTTCATTATGTTGTCTACTATGCTTTCTATTGAGATAAAAGATATCGATAATTAATATGGGAGAAAAATTCACTTACTCCAATAGTAAGTTTAAAACATTTATTTTATACCATGATCATTTATTCTTGGGAAATTCAATAGTTTGAATTAGTAAGAATATCTAAATAAATTAAGTTTAAAAAATCTTACTCTAAATAAGTGGATCTCGATTAATATTGCTTTATCATTATTAGTTACTTTGATCGAGGGTTACCGGATTTGAAAGAATCATGCATCTAGAAGATAAACTTCTTAGAGTTAAAGATGGTTTAAATCTTTCGATGATAAAAGTTATTTACAAACTACTTGGGGGTGAGTGTCGAGATTAAATGTCCCAAAAAGTAAAAATATTGTGGGTAATTTCTTAGAGTACAAATTGTCTATACCACTTCTCTATGTTACTTCTATGTGCTACAAATTATAAATTAACATGTCAGTTAAAGTTGCACCATATTAATTAACCAAAAGTTAACAAAACATAAATGTGAATTTATAATTTGTGGCATATAGAAATGATAGAGAAAAGTGGTATTCAATTCTTTATTGCACATGATTCCTTTCTTACTGACTAAGGAAAATGTCACACATATCCAGTACAAACTATTGCATTGGGCGGAATTTATGGCAAAATCTGGGAATTGATTATCTTCAAGACTACAATTTTGGGATTTTCCTTTACAAGAAGGAGAAGACATTTAAATATGCATCTATATAATTAGTATGTTTCCTTTTTTTATTTTCAATGTACAAAAAAATATAGTAAATAATGTATATAAAATATAAATAACACGTCTCTTAATGAAGTTGGTGAAACTCAAAATTTAAAATTAGCGTAGAAAACATTGCAAACCAATGTATAATATCTTAAAATTAATGTTTTAGAATAGATCTCATTGAATATAATATCAATTATTAATTATTTTAGTGTTAATTATACTCATACTCCTTAATTTTAGTGAAACTACATAAATTACTCATTATTTTTGTCCTTACAAGAATCACACCACACTCTAACACAAATTACTCATAATTTTGTATATACATTACATTGACTATACCTAGATATAAGTGTAATATTTTAAACGAAAAACATGTAATATGTGTAATTAAGTTAAATAAAATATTATATACGATAGACAATTTCAAATAATACTAGACTGATTATCTCTTTATTATTTTTGTTTCATTACGAAATACATTAATAATTGTAAGAATATGTTTATATAGTATTTTATTATATTATATAAAGAGACAATGAGTTTAGTATTATTTGAATTTGTCTACATAATATACAATATTTTGTTTAACTTAATTACACACGTCACACATTTTTTGTTTAAAATATTACACTTCTATACTATACAAAAGTGATCCTTATATATCGTGTAAGAATGAAAAAAGGAGGAATATTTTGTTCAACTTCACTAAAACTGATATTGTAATTAACTCATTATTATATATCAAAAGAAAAAAAAATTCCAATAAACGGCGCTGATGTGGCACTCCATGGTAATTGTCCAGTTTTTTGATTAAAATTTTTTCAAATACAAAATTGATTTTGATTGCTGAAACAAGTACCTTACCAATAGGAATCATAATAAATCAACTACGGAGCATTTGTTTTTGAAATCTATTGTAGGAATCTTAACAAACTGAGGAAGAAAACAATTAATTCATTTGAGATATGATTTGTATATATACGTTACTGATAGCAATTAAATAATTAACAAAAGTTGTAAAGGATGATGCACTTGATTATTTACACGTAAAAAAATAGTAAATTATACAATTAATGATTTGTATACGTTTCTTCGTCATCAATTTGAATAATAAATAATAAATTATATACTTGATGATAAATGTAATTAATTTAAATAATAATGATATATTGTGAAGACAAATCCAAATATTATATGATTGGATATATCTTTATTATTTTTGGTTTATTACAAATTACATCAATAGTTCTAAGGAGATGTTTAAATAAATTTTGTATCATATTATAAGGAATGAAAAATAAAGAAGATGTATTATATTTTATTAGTATAATATATGTAATAAATTAAGAGTTGTTTGTGTAAATATAACAAATGGAAGTATAATTTATCTAATTTCATTAAAATTATAGTTTATCTAAAAAAAAATCAAGGTGGAGAAAACAAAAAAAAAGAGACTAAAATCAGTATATTTTTTGTTCTTGCCTTTATTGGGACTAGCGTATTGACAAGCCCGATCCTGTCAACCCGCTTTCCTATCGTATGTAACTTTGGGTCGTATACAAAATAAATATTTAATATCATAATTGTGTTATATATTCGATTGAGAAATTTTTATTTACTCTCGTGCCTGTCAACACATATTTCTTATGATTGGTTTGAAATATATAATTTACGTTTTGACCTGAAATTTGAAATTGGGATAGTCTTAGTCAATCACTTTTTTGACAAAGTTGGACTGAAAACCAAACAAAATAATTTCGGTTGAGAACTTGAGATTCAACACGTTATTCAACTCACATCTTTTTAATTTAATAATACTACTGTTATAAAAGTATAGATCTATTTTAATATTTATCCACAATTGA